AAAAATTCCAAAAAGACATCCATGTAATTACGTGCTTATTCGCTAATATTTGAGTTTAGGTGAAGGAAGATTCTGAGATTTAAAAATTTCTTGACTATTGTTTAGAACTTTTCGGGAGAAATCAATATGTTTATAGGTGTTGTGCTAGGCACTGCTGCTCGAAATGCTTTGCTTGCTGCTCAGATTGATAACCATGTAGACGTTGGTGTAGTAGAAACACTGAAGCAGTTCGAGTCAGATGGACTTGTTCCTGACGCTCAAACATATGGCCAGCTTTCGCGAATTTATGCGCGAAAGGCCGATTTAAAAAGAATAATGTGATTTTGTTTGTTAAATGATCTTTTTTTCTTGCGTTCGTTATATTAGCTTCACCTTGAAAATTGTTTACAATTGAGCTAACTGTGATTTTTGCTATATGAACTGATGGGCACTAATGGGATAAGCTTTCTTTCGACTTACACCACCTGACAACTCTCATATTTATTCACACTTATTCAATTGAATCTTGTGGCTTAAGATTCTTAAAATTTAAAGTTCCCATAATCTCACTCTTGGTGGTTTGCTGACAAGCAAGTTCCTATATATTCCAAGGAAATTTTTTGTGTCTTGAAAAGCTCATTTATTTGCTTAGTGTCGAGATTGTTTATTAACGTATAGTTGCAATTTCATTTTCAGTGAAATAATTAATCATGTTAGATATATTGGAATAGAACTGCCGAGTGAGGTACTTGAATCTATAGTTTATAGTTTGGCGAGCTTAGGACAGGATGAGAAGGCGAAGTCAATTATTGAAGTAAGCATTTTTCATGAAAAGTAACATTTCCCATGTCTTTATTTCTAATTTTTAATAAGGTTTTGTCTTAAAAAGGATCTCAGTATATCATTTTTCTTTGTATTTAATATATTTCCTGATTTTCAGCATGTTTTTAATAATATACCATTGGCAGATAATTTGAAAATGGCTTATACATTGGCGAAAGCCGAACACTTTGATGGTGTGAATGTTTTAGAGGTCAGAAGCAGATAAATTCTATGCATCTTTTAGTTTACTTATCTCTATGACATAATAATCAATATTGAAGATATCTCACTCATAAGTCGCAGAGTTTTTTCAGTTCCTGGATAAGATTGCGAATGTTAATACTTTTATAGAGAAATACCAGATTTCAATATATGAATTATTGTTTTCTCTTGCCAGAAAAGGGAACTTGGACGCAATTATAAAGGTATGCACATGTTATTGCTCTGAAAATGTTTTTTAACACTAGAAAGCATGAACCAGACGTGCTTTTACTTTTTATTTAATTTTTACTAAATTTAATTTTCATTTCTAACTAGTTTCATTTTTAGCTAACAAGCATTTTACCGCCCTTATCCAAAAGTATGGACAAGCAGTATGAGTCCATAATTTGCAGTAAAATCCGCAGATTTTTAAGTAAGGAAGAACAGAATATTGTAGCAGCCGCGATATTGCTTGATCTAATTCCAAACATTGAAAAGCGGTTTGTTTATTTTGCTTTTTTCTAATATTCACTGATTATTTGTTGAATTTAGTTCTTTACATTTCTGAAGTCAAAAAAAAAAAATAGAGATGAAATATACCACTCAATTCCATGGTTTGTTAATTGGTAGTTTAATAAACTTGATATGTATTTAGTATTTCATATTTGGTTTTACCAGCTTTTTTTTGTCTATTCGTTATCTTCTATCAAATTAAAAACCATGTAATTAAGTGCATATCTCATTATATTGACTTTGGATTAGTATGTATCAAGTTCTTAAATTTTTAAAGTTGTCATTATGGATATAAATAATGAAGCAATTGTAATATGAAGCTATTAAATCATTTGTCATCTTCTACCTTTCTTCTTTAAGGTCAAAATTTCGATCTATTCTAACGAGGCAATTCTTATCGACTATTCAAAATAAGAAGATTACAGAAGCTGTAAGAGTGTGCACAGTCTTCCAGAAATGCAATATTTTGAAGTAAATGCTTTTTTTGACTTTCACTTGTAATTTCTTCAAATAAAATTTATTTGAAAAAATTAAATTACAGGCATCCACTCCGTATTTATTTACACAGCGTAGCTTTAAATAATCCCAAGAACTTCCACGATCTTTTTGCAATTTACAAGCGAACCGATGATTTTGTAGAACTTCAAAATCGCCCCCACTTACAGCTTCCTATCGCAGTACGACATTTCAATGAGGTGATTATCGAAATTTTACTTAAAAATTAAGAGACATTGTGCTAATGCTATTAAAGTAACTTTTATCGGAAAAAGAAATTGAGCAGAGTTCAATCGGAAGTATTTAATTCTATCGTTGCCATATTTTTAATTTGACGCATAAGTATGATTCTGTATTAATACAGTTCATCAATATAAAATGAAGTTTAGTTGGTAACTTATAGGAGAATTTTCCTGATTGATGACAAGTCATTGAAACGACCATTATGACTTAATAAATTTTAATATATTTATAACTTTTTTCATTTTTCTGTTGGAATATATGATTGAAACTGTTAGTTACAAATGTGATTATTTTGGACTTCAGTATTCAGTTAACATTCTTGTGTTTGAATGAATTGTTTTTTCTCATCGTTTTGCAAATTTCGACTTTTTTCAGTTGATGAAGGCTGATACAAAAGAGAAGAAAGTTGAGCATTTGTTAGAGATTGCACGTTCCCTCCAGAGCACTGGAATTACATCTTGCGGTGAGAAATATTTTACGAATGTGAAAGAGTTGTTTATTGTACCGCTTCTGAAAGGTAATACCTCATTTATTATTGTTGAGTCAGCTCATTTATTATTGTTGAGTTTTCAGTACTTGCATTCAAGCAGCACTTGGAGTATATATTGTCTTCTTCTTTTTCCATGATAAAATTAATTTGGGTACTTAAAATATTTCATTACAGCTTATGATTGTCCAACCCGCTAATATCTTAGGAATGTCTTCTGAACAACTAAAGACTTCTGCAAAATCCATTAAAAAGACATTTTAAAGTTGTAATTTTGCGCATAGTAATGAATTGCGGTAATAAACTGCATTAATTATTGATTTGAGATATGAACTTTCTGTCGCAGTTGATGAAAAAAATTGAAAATGAGAGCTCGCTGCAGTGTTTTGTGGTTGACATTCTTATTACTCATCTAATGGCAACAAAACAAATGCATCAACTTCAGCTATTATTACAAGGGTAAGTAGTGCAGATTGATTAATATGTTATTGTGCACATTAGTTATTATTTCATTTTTTGTCATGTTTCATTCTCTTTTCTTCATTTTAAGGACTTTGAAGAATTCTTTGGCGGGAGAGACATATCCATATCGAGAAGTGAAAAATTTTATTCTCAATACATCAGTTAAGAACAAAAGCCTTGTTCCAGTCTGCCGTCTTTTGCGGCTGCTTTTTCCGCGTAAGTTCATTTTGCGTTACCATTTTTTTCTTCGGCTTTTCAGTAGTTTTGTAAGTCTCTGCTAAATTTCATTTAATGATAACTGTTTCATTTTTAGCAACTTCAATTATTTTAGTACCCGGTATAAATAATAATTGTCAATATGAAAAAGGAATGCAAATAATCAAATCGGCCGTCATTGCTGGTGATTTGAATAAAGTTAAAATGATGTGTGAATTATGGTCTACTGATAAACGAATTGTTCTTCGAAAAAGCGACAAGGAAGATCTTTTAAAAACTCTTGATTGGAATGGTGAATCATCAAAGAAACAATTTGTAAATACATTATCAGAAATGGTAAAGCTACATTCGTAGTTTCAGTGTTTTCTTTTAGTCATTTATTTTTACAGTTTCTCAGACTAAAATTGCGTAGGTTTTTTTTCAACAAAGTTCGACAGCACATAAAATTTGGATTTTTAGGGATCACCTCTGGATACAAAAGTTCAAAGAAAACATTGCACGAATGAAAAATTAAGCAAATTAAACAAGGTAATCTTTTCTCTCGATGTATATCAAAATTTTTTAATTTTGCTGCATGGCAGTTGATTTACTTATTTGAGAATGGCATTTTTCATTCAAAATTTACTCACTTTAAATCAATTTTTGTGCTTCTATTGAGATATAAACTTTTTGAATTGCAGATTTCAGCAGGCCGTGGTGTTAGGCAAAAGCCTATAGGAAAAGCAGAAAGTGCGAATCGAAAACGCATGGAAATGGAATTGCAGAATGCGCTTGATTGTGGTGATTTGAAAAAGGCAAAAGAAATTTGGATTATGGGGTAATTTGTTCACTTCGGTTTGATCTCATTTCGTAAGTTTAATGCAAATATCGAAATGGCCAAACTTGGATTTCCAAGCTGTTCAGTCACTTTGTTCTTCATTATTGAATTAATTACAACGCAAGGAAATTTTATATATTGATTTTGCTTTTATTAGTCCTTATCTACTCTCAGTTCAGTAAAGTGTTTGATATTCTGAAATAAAATTTGTTGCTTATAGGCCAGAGTATATATCTCCATCTAAAGGGTTATTATTGGCTGAGAAACTATATTTTTCAAAAATGATGGATCAATTCAAATCCGTTCTTTTGAAACTCAACGAACTTCATGAAGATCTTTCTTATCACGTTCTTACTGCTGTTAGATTTTCTTGTTTCTTTTTATAATCGCAACAAATCTCTTGCAGAAACTGTCGTTAATAACAGCTAGTTTTTTAACTAGCAAGTATATTCGTTTATTCATAGGTTGTCTCGATCTTTTTTCAATTGAGTTATTAACAATTCTGAGTAAAGTACCTGTGTTACTATTTCTTTCTTTGCTTCTGCAGTACGATTCATCGGATGCGTCACATGTGCGAATGGTGTTCCTAGACAAAACGAGTAAGATACTGGGCCTGCACTTAAATATTAAGCAGGAGCTTTTATATAACACACGAGTTAATGCATTCCACGAATTAATTGAAAAGTGAGTTTTTCGAAGCTTATATCAATTTGATGTAAGCAAACGTGCAGCTTTCTTTAATTGAAGATGCCGATATATCTTTGAATACCTTCTTTTTGTGAGAAAGATTGAAATTTCAAGAGACATGGTGTGATCAAATCTTGAGAAGTGATTTTTTTTGCAGAGGTAATCTTAGTCATGCTCTTGATTTGTTAAAAATAATCAGTGCTCAAAAAAATTCGGTATATGGTCAGTTTGATTTGATGGGTGCAGCAATCGAAAGGGATGACACAACGATTATTTCTGAAGGTAGTTTTTTATTCTTTTTGTGAAAATATTTGACTGTTTCACTTGTCTCTGCTTTATTTTTATCATTGTCTTTTTTACTATTCCAATAAAATTATTAAATGACGTTTAACTATTTCTTCCAGTAATTAATTTGATTGCAACGTATCATGGCAAGGAATCATCCTTGGCTGACTTTTGTGTTGCTTTGTTAGAGCATAATAAAAAAATGCATGCAGTGCGACTGGTACAGGTAAACAATATTTCGATGCGCTGTTAGATTATAGCGGAACATATAGGAAATATCTCACTATTTCATATCGTAGATTTACTATCACTAAATAGCTGTAACTATTTTTACATTTTTTTAAGTGGAAATCGCAAAAGGACATAGTATTTTGATTTATGAATTTATCTAAACATCTTACTCTGAATTATTTTTCAGAGTAGTAGTTTCCGACTTTCTGGTGCGAAGCTTAATTATTATATTGACCGGGAAATCGATCTAGGCCGGGTTTGCTTTTTTTTTTGAAATTCAACTTTATTTTTTCATGCCAACTTTCTAATTAAATCTTTCTTCGAATAAAATAAATATTGCAGGTGGAAGTAATTCTTAATTTATTCGAATTATGTATTCGTAAAAAAAATCTGGAACAACGAGATTTGGAAAATGCTGTATCCAAGATAGTCAATTTCTATGGTAATATATTTTTATATTCTAATTTGGGTAAAATGTTTTATAGTTAAACTCGTTGTGACTGAAGTGCGCATTATAGTTCATCATTCGGATATTATCCAAGTCATTGAATAAATCATACGTGTTTATATTGCAGTTAAGCGAAAAAATGAAGCGATTATTAACTTAATTGAAGAGAGATTAAAAGATATTGGTATACGTTTGACTCCAGGAATGAATTCATTATTGTTGAAATCGAAAGGACAAAATTTTGACGTCACTTATGATGATAATGTGTCAATTCCGTGATTTTAAATAGTCGAAACAAAATGTTTTTCAACTTCTCTACTATCAGTTATCTAACTGAAAATCATAATTGTTGACAATGCTGAGGATTTTATATGCTGGAGTCTGCTAATGTCTCTTTCAGATTATGTATATCTTAATGGCATCATTATACTTAGAAAAGGAAATCATGCTCTTAAATCTTTTAATCTAATTTGTTGTTGTAATTCCTTTTAAGTCGTTGCTTTGTCCGTAAGTTTTTTTATTCTTCAGATGCTTTTTTTGCTGTTTTTATTTATAAATTTAAATGAATAAAAAATTGTTTTGTTATCTAAACTTTGGAATAGAGAAAATGCTTCTTGTGACATTTGGAGTAGTTTTTTTTATTCGTTCGCGAGGAATCATTTATTAGTTTGGAGGGCGTGATTGTCAAATTTTGCACTGCCACGAACGGTTTTAGATTTTGAAAATCTAATAGTGAAAAACAATGCATATTTTTTTAGAATTCCTTGAGACGATTTAGATTTTATTTGGAAGGAATGGTATCAAAATTGCTTTAATGGCACGAAATTTGGTGAAATTCAATCAAATCTCAAAATTTTCTTTCCCACTTCAATGTTCGATTTTGAGAAATATATATTGTATTTCTGCGGTCCATTTCGAAAGAACATTGTGTTCTCAAACATGGCCAAGTGAAATGACTCGTGTTCGGTGGAGAAAGCGCAATTGGAGTCCTGATGTGAGCAATTTTAAATTATGGAATTATAGTTTCAACTGTCGAACGATCAAATAATGGATGATCGAAAACTCCTAAAATAACCACTCACTTTACCTGTATGTTAAGTCTACAAGATATTTTTTACGCCAAACCAAATAATTATTTCAAAATATATTCATAGGTGATGCCTTTGTTATCCTAGTGCAGTGAACGTCCAGTTTTTCAAGCGTTTTCTTGGAAATAAAGATCATTGCAAATGCTTATATTTATTTTCAATACAATAATGAATTTCAGCCTGTGCTGCTGAATACATTCAATGATATTACAAAAGGAAGTCGTTCGTTTACCGCACTTGAGGCGCAAAGAGCCATAAAACATTTTAATGATTTGTAAGTTTTTTGTAATTCTCCTTGTTGCACAAGGAACAGAACTGATAATTCGCAGTTCTGTTCTTTGTGCATAAGTGTTTTATTGAAAATTGTTGCAGCACCGCGAAAGGAAAAGTGCCTGATTATATGGCTGTCAAGATGGCATCAATTGCAACAATTCATCTTGGCTGGGAAGAAGGCGAAAAAATTCTGGAAATGCATTATATGTCCCATGGTGCGGAATTAAGATTTGGTTTGTCATTTTTTTGTTTAAATCAAGCTTTTTAATTCTTTTTTTCTTTGTATTTATTTTATTGCTAATAATTTCTTGATTTATAATCAGTTACTGTTATGATTATTTGGCAATAATTTTGTACATTAGCTGGAGAAGCCTCAATAATGGATAAACAGGTGGAAGGAGCTATACATCGAATTTTCGATAACATAAGTGAAAACGCATATAAACTAGCTCATCAGTTCTACTGTCGTCTTATTGATTTGAAGTTTTGTAAAGTGAAAGATTGTGTTTTACGAATCTTCATACAAGATTTACTCAAGAAGTAAGTTTCATTATTCTGATTTTCTAAATGTTTCATATCTTATACTGATATTCTGATGATGCAGTGTTAAATACAAATGATCGGCTTAAATACACATGTAGAACTTGCATATATACATATGATATGTGCAGCTGATCCTTTGTTTAATTCACTTTTCTTGCGTTTTTCAATTATACTCTTCATTCCTTTCATCCATCGATGAATCATTATCTCTTTTTCTTGTTTCCATTTAGTTCTTTATTAAACATTTCTGATTATCAGTCATAATATTTGACTCTTCAAATTCTTCCTTTTTTTTGGCTCCATAAATTTTGTTTGCGCTTTTTTTTTATCGGTCGTTCGTAGATACGGACGTTTTCAATAATTCATCGTGTTTGGCTTTCCATTTTTCCGCTTTGGCTCTTCTAGTGTTTATTTATACTTTTGCATTATTTAACTGCTTGTTTATTGTTTAATTTCTCAAAAAAATATCTTGTTCACTTATTTTAACAGTTAGATACAAAAGTGGTGCTTTGGTGAGTAAGAACCATGCAAGTGGCACCAGTATGTGCGCTCAGGCTTGCTCAAATAGCACTAGCCTTAATTATGAGAATGAAGAATGATTATTGATAGCCGTGTCTGAAACTATCTGAAATTCGTAATCAAAATTTGAATTGGAGCGAGAATTTTGAAATGAATATCACTGACCTGATATGTGGTGCAGTGTAGAGATTCGGCAATATATAATATTCTTGCCCCGTTGCCCAGTTCATCAACAGTAATGTGGTGCAGAAAATAGTGTTAAGCACTTTTTTCGTGAGGGAATTCGTGAGCCCCTGTGAAATGATTACAAGAATTTGTTTCATCAAACTCTCGTTTTTATAATTATAATAATGATGAAAATTGGTAAGGAACACTTCCTTAATGGACTAATCCACAAGCCGTTACTCCATAATTTGGTGAAATAACAACATGGGACAATACACGTAAAGGAAGCGACCTTTACATCTCCATTTGTCTCATCTTTTCTTCTATCTTTATTTCCTTATTCTTAATTTCCCTTTCATGGAAGCGATGAAAATATAAATAGCACATTGAAAAAGACTTAAATTCATATAAATAGTCTCTTTAATGAAATATGAAATTTACCTGATGACCTCTAATGATAAGATCAGTGTCCAGTTTTTGTTGAAATTCTTCTGTTGCTTGCTTTCCGAAAAGCTAAATATCCCTTTATTTAATATGTTGTAGAAATAATTTACAACTGTTATTTTATCTCTCGAGATTACCAATTCTGTATTTGTGAAATAACTTCACTTAATCTTCCAAATGTTCATTGTTAGCTACATCTATCGCTGTTCATATAATGTCAGTTCTAGTAATAGCCTTAGTGAAAATACTATAGCATCTATGAGATACCTTGTGGATTTTGAATATATTTTCCGGGGAGTTTACCAGGATCAGCCCATATGAGATCATTAACGAATCCAATATCAGTAACATCTGTTGATCTGCATATTCGTCTGAATTGATTCCAGTGAAGATCTTCCAAAATTCTTCCATGTGCTGCGAATATGCTTCCGCCAATCAGCGCTGCGAATGGCATACAATTGAAGACTTGAATTTTTCTTGACTTTTTATTCCTTTGATTTTTTCATGAAGTGTCTGTAAGATTTAGCTCAACTATACAGCAAGTTTAGTTATCTACCGATCTCGCAGATTTTGATTTGATTGTCAAAAGCCATAATTTGAAGGTATTAGTCCTTTTTTCTTAATTTAATCATTGGATGCCAACTTTTCACGAAGAATTTTGCTAATTTATCTAATAGGTTTCTCAAATGTGTCTTAATAGATATGTCAAAAAAAGTTATTAAAAAGAATAGCGAACATGTTGATATAATGTCCAGAACTGAGTTTTATTATTCTTTTCCGGAAATCGTTGTAGTCATTCCTCAAATAAGCCATATACCTGTTCATATCGCATGTCTCATGGTTGCCACGTAACATATAAAGGTGTTTCGGGTAATGAACCTAAGTACCATTCAAAACTAGTAATTTCAAGTCAAGAAGAAATTTTTAGAAATTCGTATTCGTTATTAAATAACATCTGCAAATGATATGCCTATTGATACATGTAATTTGGATTGGAATACCTTGTACGCTATCAATAGTGAAGCAGTTTCAGGACTCCATTATCCCCGATCCACGTAATCACCTATGAATAAATAACTTTTACGTGGTGGTATACGATTTTTGAGATCATTTTCACCAAATCCTAGAAAACAGTGTTGTGTTAATTCTGTCTTCATATGTAGAGAATGAAACAAATTTCAGATTAAGATAGGAAAGTAAATGAATAACCATGTATATCACCGAGAATATAAATAGGTGGATCTATATGAAGCAGCGTTTTTTCCATTCTGAACACTTCCCTACATCGCAGACATACCTCATGTATTTCCGATAATGTTATCATTGAATTCATATTATTTTCAGGAGCTGTCAAGAGCTTCTGTAATTTACAGGAATTTTTAGCTCCATCAAGTATCCAAACTCTAGAGTTTATTGAGTATTGAGTGATATACTCATATTAGAATACTCATACAAGGAATAAATTTTCAGAGTTCAATTTATCGTGATTATTATTGATCTGCTTGCACAGTAAGTCAGGAAATTTATTATCTCGGGAAGGTGCTCGAAGTCGTTTTTTCCTCGCTTTCTTGGATTTCAGTTCTTTTCTTGTAAAAAACCAATTGATCGCATCATAATAATTTCCAAATATTAGCTTTTTATTTTTTTCCCAACTGCATTTAGTGGAAATTAAAATTAATCTCATATAACAGAAGTTAAAATTAGTCACACGTCTTAAAAATACATTTGGCCTATACCGCAATGAATTTCTCTAGGAATTTCCATACTTTCGTTCTGCGTTTCAGTGATGTACCATCGGAATGCCTCACTGTTCCTAAAGGTATTTCTATGAATTGTCCACTTTTGTCAACACATTTATGTAAACTTAAAATTACTAACATGCCTCAATCACTTCGTTTTTTATACTCTTAGTTATGCGAGATGTAATGCAATCGTTTTAGATCGAGAAATGTAAAAGCTGAGCTCCTGAGCTTAGACGATGTTTTAAATAATATCTAGAAAGCAGATTACTCTATATTATATTTCTCATCCTATACTATTACATTCTACTAATTTCTCCATTTAACAAGGTTGCATGCATTCATTCTTTCTTCTTTTACCTTTTATAATTTCATGCTTTTTATACTCCATTGTGTTTTATTTTTGTTTGAGTTTGAAATTTGCTTTTTCAAATCAGGTAACTGCAGATTTCTGTTGTATTTTAATATTTAAATGACATCAGAATCTTTAGCTGGTATGCATTCCTGATCCTCCATTTAATATATTTTCGAATTCTTCAGCTTGTTCTTTAATCATCATAAGAACTCTTCTTTATCAATTGAAATTTCGAATGAAAACATCGAAATATTACAGGAATCGGGTAAAGGAAGCGATTGAGGAATTCGATTATTTTTCTCATTACGGAAAACATGGCTCATTATCGGGTGCAGCATTTCTTGTGCTTCTGGCAGCTTTCAAAAAGAATGACGAATTATTTCACAAAGGTCACAATTTTATGATTTTTTTCTCAATCTCTCGTTTTTCTACGCTTTTGATTTCTTTTATACGTGCTAAGCCTTTACTTTTTATCTAGTTTGGAATTATCTAGTGCCTCGGACTTTAAAATTGATAGAAAAATATGTATTATAATCAGTTATGCTACATATAATAAATTCTATTTAAGCAGTAGAAATCATCAATGGAAATATAGAAAGTCGTCTGCAACAAATCTGTATTTTGGGTTGCGTGTATCTCATTGAAGGATTTCATATACAATTCGTGGACTTTCTAAGGGTATTTTTCTTATTGGAATTTTATTCCTACTCTAATCTAATCGAATTTATCATTTTATTCATTTTTTTTTTTGTTTTGAAATGGCCTTTATGAATTCATTTATCCTTCAGAAACACGACTACAATATATCAACAGAAGACGTTGAATTCATATGTAATGTGGCGCGCAAATGTAAAGAGGTTGGTGAAGAACCTGTATTCTCTATTTTTTTCTCTGTGTTATGAATAGTTTTTCTCACTTTTATATTATTTCTGACTAAGAATGATAAGAGAATTTAGAAAACTGGTTTTGAACAAAACTTAATCTCGCACGTTTTGAATATTGAAAAGCAATACCAGCATTTTATATTCTTTTTAGCCTGCTATTTTGGAATCGTTTGTGAGTACTCATGAATTATTCAAATTGACTGATAAATCAAGAGCTCGAATATATGAAAGCTTGATCGAAATTCATGGTTTCCTTCCTTTCCATTTGCTATAAAATTCTCTTTATACTTCGATGAGATCACTAATTTTAATATAATTGCAAATGTGGTAAGAAGTGTATCTTGCTTTTTGCATCTTTTGTTGTATACGACCTATATCAGCACCAGCTGCAACAGACAGGCAAACTGACGCTGTCAAATCATGAGTTCCAGGAGTTTGAGAAATTTTTTTTGAAGAAAAAAAGTTTGAGAAAAAAATTGCAGTCGAAAGAAATTGATCAACCATGGAAGAACAGGCAGTCCGAGTAGTAAATAAGTGCTGGCATCCATTTCAACTGCAGAGACTAGGGACAACAATTTATCAAAAATTTTCTAAAATCCATGGCAATCTGTTGTTTTTCAGGAAAAGCCAACAATTTGACCGGCTTATTGAAAATATGGGAACGACTAGTTGCGGAGAAGAATTTGAATAATTTCCGAGTTGTGATACTAAAACTTGGCCACTTCTATAAATGCAATAATTTCTCAATTCCCACTGATATGCAGTATTATTTGAGACAGTACAGAGAATAATCAGTTAATAAAATTAAAAAATGCAATTTGCTTTTACAAACAATTATTGGAACGATTCAGTGCAGAAAAAAAATTTTTGTTGAGTAACAGGAAAATTACCGCTTTTTGAATATCAAATACAATTTGCTCGGAACTGACAAACACTGTACTCTCATCATCGCTAACTATGGTTGTTACACAGGACAAAGTGGACAATTGCACGTACACTATCCCCCCTTCCCACGCAATCCTTATAGCACCAACACCCCCTCCTTCCTCCAACTCACTCGACAGATTATTGTATCATATCGCAAATATCTTCTTCCCCTACATAGTCCGTGCATTTTCGCCATTTACGTGCATATTAGCAAATATGCATAAGAAATGCGATTCACGTGGTGTAATGCATGATGTGGTGTGGCTCATTTCTCCGAATGTTTTATTTAGGTCAGGTGAGATGTACTAATGGGATTTTTGGGATTATTTGCGATCAGTTTTTCTTGCTTTTATTACATCTATTGTAAGCATTAGTGTCTCAGATACTGTTAGTAGTTGGAATTTCAAGGTAAGGAGTGTGCAACAACGTAGACTGAAACCAATACGGAGCTAAAAATCTCCAATAATTCGGAAGTTACCGTTGACAGAATAGGTGCTCCCGACGTATCATGTCACTCTGTGTAAGTTATAATTTGCGTCATTTCTCATTTTTCTAAATAGAAAATTATTGTTTGTTTCTTTCTTGGAAGATCAGAACTAAGCATGTGGCAGCAACTGCAATTATTTTGTTGCTGTATGTAATTATCTCCTCGAATTTTACGCGATGAATAATGCAAAATCACTTTTAATATAATTATTAAATTAACAAAATATAATTATTTGTTTGAACTTCACTAAATATAAGTTGGAATAAGCTGAAAATTCATCTCTCTAAGATTATGTGCAGAAACGACCAGATGTTCCAATTCAGGATCAACTTCGACATTAATAATAAGCTGACGGTATCAGCATTACATTATTAATTCAGATAAATGAATAAGGTCTTTCCGTTTCAATATTCGGTTGCGAATCATGCCGTGGAAGATTTCGGCAAGATTCATTAAACCAAAAAGCAGCAATTCATATGAACTTTAAGAACAGAGGTTGTGGTGTCTAGTATTTCTGATGTTCTGCCCATGTTTTATTCATCTTTGTGCGGTATATCCTAGGTGAAAGTTGACATCATATCTAAATTAGAATCCAAATTAATTCAAATTTTAATCATGATGTTGAAGAATAATACATTGCTGGATTATGAGTCAAAACAAGGAGTTATGTTCTTATTCGATGATAATATTGGATCGCACATATCTATAACTGATAAAGTATTCCAGTTCGTGTTCAATTATCTTTCAGGTAATCTTTTTAATTTCTCTGGGAGATATTTCATCTTTTTGTATTTTATGCACCTATACTAAATTTCCAAAAAAATTCTACATTTTTCATATTCATGCAACAATTTTTCTGTATGCCGTGTTTCGAATTTGTATGAAGTTATAATGAAATCCAGCTAGTTCTCAAATAAAAATATCATTGTATTTGAAATTTTAGTGTATGAATTAAATCATATCAGCCGTACATGTCACGCTCTTAACAATGCAGTTTACAAGTATGTGTTAATTAATGCGTCAAAAAGATTTGCATGTGAAGTATTGAAAAATAAAGACATATTGGACAAGACACGAAGCAACAGCTACGCTTGGGGTATTTTTTTAATTTTTCATAAAGAAGATTAGTAATAACTGATAGAAGAGACCGATTCATTAGATTGTGAACTGCAGCATGTCTGTTTCACATTATATTACCTTTGAAAAGACCAAAATTAACAATTACTAGTTGTTAAGAGAGTTCTACATTTGAACCATTCAGCTTTAATATCACACACTGTATTAATTAATGAAATAAATCAATTAGTGAAAGTACAGATAGTGTTGAAGTGAAGTTAATTTTTCGTTTATGCTTCTTTTATTCTTTTAGAAAAAAGAAATAAAAAAAGCAGAAACGAGAATTGTGTTCTTCCTTGACTATATTTTCTCTATCCTTCCGGTTTCTAGAGGACTTTTTACTGTTTTTCTTCTTCAGACTTTACTTTGATTACCTGACCCTTCCTCATGAGGTTAGTGTTATTGGTGCTAGTTAATACACATACTCAGTCAGATGAACTTCAGGAGAAAGGCTTCATTTTTAGGAAACTTGTTGAAGATGTGTACAGTTTTTTGGCCTGCGCGAAGAAGAAGAACTTTTATGAGTCACTTTTATTTGAAGGTGCGCTTTTGTTATCAAATGTCTATTTATTTTTTTAAATGCTAAGAATATTTTAAATTAATTGAGTGAAAATGACTGCACACTGATTCTCATTTTTCAGAATAAATCAGTCTACAACAATTACACAATTTGGGGGCAATGCTTTTCTGGAGTAAGAATTTTATGATCTTATCATATGTCATGATTTGAATGTATTTAATGTTTGCAAAAATTTTTTCAGAATTTTTGAACATTTTTTTATCGTCTCCATTTGCAGTTCTGTGCAAACTGGGATTATCAGGCGTGCAGCGAATTTTTAGATTCCGTTATACATTTCACCGATTCAACGCGACTGCTTATTGCCGTAATGTCTGGTAAAGTTGGCAAGAACTATCAACTTGAAATAGAAGTAAATTATGCTTCTTATTCTTCTATTTATCATGTTGCTGACAGCAGTCATCGTTTTATTTATCTAAAGTGAAAGGACATTTTCAAATCCATATAAATTCTTGCATAAAAAGTATTGAGTCATTTTTATCATGATCATACACACGAAATATTTCGAGGTACGGCGACGTTTCCGTGGTTTCTTCATTGATCAACTAACAGAATCGGAATCAAAGCAAGGATTTTGGCTTTCTGCGCTTCTGCGAACTCAGAAAAGTGTCGCAGAACAGGGACGATTGTTCATGCTTTTATTTGGCCCTATAAAATATGTTCGTGGCCAGGGTTTGTTATAGAGTCAATTCAAATTGACTTTATTGAGTCACAAATGTTGAAAGTAATTAGTTCAGGGGAAATTTTTTTAAAAAATATTTTTTGTTACTCGCTGAAGTTTTGCGGTTGAGAGAAAAGTGGAAAGAATTTTACAACAATATCAGTGACCATTTTCTATAATTAGCAAGTTATGGAATTAAAAACTTATGTTTCACATACACTTTAAATTTAATCTAATCGAACTCTAAATCTTTTTGCTTAAAGCTTAAAACTTGGTTTAATTATAGTACATTTGTTTTGGAAGCAACATAGGAAAGTGAAGCGCATTAACATATAGGAAATGAAATTAATTCAGAGCGAATTGATTGGTACTTGATGTCAAAGAAAATTTTCACCAGAAATCAGTGCGCTCAAATTATCAAACCATTGTCATCAAATCTTTATTGCCTTTCGAAAACAAGAGAATTGAAGTCGATGTTTTCCTGGAGCGATTCTGAAATTTTCACTTTAATAGAAGAAATAACAAGTATGTGTCAATAGATGGACTTTTGAGAGTATCGTTTTGAGAGTATTTTAAAGTAAAGAATTTTTAAGAATTTAATGGGGGATAAAGTCCAATATGTATTCAGGTAATAATATTTTGTATTAATTTATCAATATTCTTTCAGGTGCACCACAAGTTTGGCTGTTTCATAATTTTGCAACTTTACTCTTACTGCAACCAAAATTAATCCGAACTGCTCTATATTATAGAATATTTTATGGACAGTGTAGAGAAGCTGCCAATATGTTGCATGTCATGAAAATGGTACAAAGTTAACCGGAAGCCGCTTATGCCACCACTTTTTATTTTATGAAGTTTTACATATAGATAATTGAAATATCTGTGATACTATTGTATGCACTTGAAAACAAAAAACTCCTTCAAAGTTGTTCTCATTCATCAAGAATAAAAATGTTCAGTTTAAATGAAAAACTTTTCAGGTGTATTATCGATGGGGATGTAGAATTGCGGAAAGCTTATTGGCACCTTTGCTAGAAACATTCGAATTCCTGAATTCGGCACAACGCCGGCATTTCCTTGCTGAAGTAATTTTAACACAATGCCACTTACTCGATGAACATCTTCGACGCTTTCCATGTTACTGTTTCATAATTTCTTTGCTTTCTGAAGTACATAGCTCGATCTATTTGTAATCTAGTTTTTTTTAAATAGATTTTCATCACGCGTCTTTCCGTCGTCTGAATACAAATGGATTTTCGAATGTTATAAATTAGGATAAATCATTTGAAACATGGATGAATGCTAACACGTCATTTTATTATATTTTTCTCGTTAAACGGTGATTAAAAATTGTGAGTATTGCAAATTTTAATTTTTCACTCTCTAGTTCATAAAAGCTTTAAATTTACAAAATATTTACATTCAGTTGACCGACTACAATTGCTTGATGAACTGGTGGCAAGCAGTGCTATTTTACCTCTGCTATCGATACTTGGCTCTAATATTTGATTCACAACAAAACAAAAAACAACAACAACACAAAACTCGATATATAGATCTTGGACAAAAAACGCTCTTTTGCCTTGATTTGGTTTGGTCCTTTAACTAAGCTTGATGGAATTACATTATCGCGTGGTTACCAAAGTTGATTCTATTCGTTTATATCTATTGTAAACAAATATAATGTCCGAACGGAATATGATATTCGAATTTTGTTAAATTTTTTCTTTTTATGTATCAATAAAAATTGTTTATCACTTTACTGTTGCGTTTACACTGTTATTAGTTTTTGCAACAGTGGGAATTTGTTGAGTGCCGTTTATTTCTTAACAATAATATCAAAGAACATCTCATTTTTTGCTTCATAAGTTGTTCTCTGAAATACGAGTCCATCAAATTATCATTTTATTTTTTTTTAAATAGAGTTAAAAGAAATAAACATAATATTTTTACGATAAATACTACTATAATTTGTGCATTATTATATTACAACAGAACTTGCTAATAAAACTGGAAAAATTGATTCTGCAATATTTGCGTAGATAATACAAACTAAGTAAATAAAAAATCTGAAGATTATTTTTCTGATTTCACTTAGATAAAATTGAAGATTGTATCAGACTTTAGGGAGTAGAATGTTACACATGAGAAATTTTTTAAAAAAAAACTATTTTTGTATGTTCCATCATTCATTTGTAACGAATTCAAGCAATAAGATTTTCTAAATTTGTTTCCAATTCGATTTTACATTCAAGGATTTGAAGATCACTTACGCTGAAAGTACTTCCAGATAATGTGTATGTCTTCGAAAATAATCTAGTTCCCCCTCGGCTCTTATTGTACTGCACTTATTGCTATTGTTAATGAAGCACAATAACAGTTCCCGCTGCATATGATGAGTATTTATAATAGTTGACTATTCAAAATATTAGTGATTTTGCTGTTTTCTTGCATCTCTTAAATTAATTTAGTTCAATTCAAAATGAAATTAACACAAATGATTTAGTTTTTGTGATTTGTCCAAAAGTAATATCTATTGAAGTAACAATTATTTTATATTTTTTCCAGCTAATATGATAATGCTGTTGTGTTTGGCATGTGCTACAACAAGCGTCAAGACAATACAGCAAATATGTCGTATGGAACCTACAAATCGGTCATTTATCGGTATTTTGCATATAACATTACGTGCGGATATAAAACAGTGCAAACGAGAGTGTCTTGCAATCAACACAAGCCAGTGTTCGTAAGTTTACAGCTAAAATGATCAATATTAAATTAGCAAAATTCATTGTTAATTAATACACAATGTCATTGTTGATCGAGATTTAAGTCGGTTTGGTTTTCTATGATACAGATTCTATGAGAGACAGAGAGAGAGAAAGAGAGACAGGTTTAAACTATTTTGACCATTCTTTTGTTTTAAATACTACTATACTGCTATCTCACGTGCATTTACAGATCAGATTAATGAGAACGTACGAGTTTAGTTTATTGATGTTTGGTTTAATTGTATTAGCATTAACCACTATGCATTGGTTTTCTACTAGACAGAGGATTACTAATTGCATCTTATTATTATGATTACCTGGTGTACTTGATGCATTCGTTTTACATTCGATTTATTAGGGCAATCGTATACATTGCTAGTAAGAATTTGTGTTTGCTTATAAGTGGTCAACAAAGTGAAGAGGACGAATTCATTGGTGAAGATACAATGAAATTTCATAAGACATGTCGATGTAAGTTATTCTATTTGTCTGTCAAGTTTGAATTTTCTAAGATAATCTACTCAATTTTGTTCTGTTATTTTATTTCATTCAAATACGCGAAGGGAATAATTGTGTATAAGTCTGTTGAAAATTTGAAACTTTTGTTAAACACTATTAGCTGAGTCATCTTTTTGGATCATGCGATACACAGATGTTTAAACAAGAAACAATTGCTCTTGCTGATGAACTAAGAAAGGATATGATACTTCGTTTTAAAATACTTAAATCATCACACGTCGGATTTTTCATTTTATCAGTTAAGTGGATACTAGTAGATTCTTTGGTCACGGAGCACTTCAAGTTATCTCTTGTTTGCATTTTGCGACGAAAACTTTGTAGGTCTGACAAAGGTGCAATCGATACTTCTTAGAAAAGCGTGTTTTAAAGAATTTCGTGGTAGAGCATTAATTGGTGCTATTGATGAAATCTATGAAAATGTATCAAAAATACAATGTCGAAAAGCTTGTGCCGTTTCATTAATTCAAAACAATGTCTTGTGTAAAGCAGCTATTTATTATCCTAAAAAGCACGTAAGTCAAAGTTCATTTAAGAATTAGTTTTTAGTTATAATGAAGTTGGAAATTTATATATTTATACTCAAGATTAGAAAATGCAGGAATGTATGGTCTCATCACAGAATCGTTTTGATTTGCCCGAACTGTTCATAGAGGATGCAGGAGCACATTATCTTGAAAATAGATGTGCTGATGAACGATTTCTGAACAGAATACAGAATAAAAACAATACCGAGCAAACAATATTTTCACTGACAACTACAAACAGTTTGTTTTTCAAGATTGAAAAACTTTTGACAAATGCTACTCTAAACGCTTGCTGATAAAAAGAAGGCAAAACTTTCGTCATAATTATTTCTGTTGTGACTATACATACTATCCTTATGTCGAAATCGGAATGAGTATATTTCCAGATTTTTCTGCTTTCCATGACATTATAAACAAATGATGCTCTTTTAGAAGATCCAAATGATATCGAATCCGACTGCTCATTGAAACACACTACATTTATGACTCAGAAAGTTCTGCATTTCTGTGATTAAGCATGGATAGTAAACTGCTTCTATTATTTTCATTATTAGGTAGCCTTGAAGTCAAATCTCACAGTCATCCTTTCAAGCGGCTATCGCAATTATTCGACGAAGTAGAAGATGAAAAGTCTATTGAAGGCAACGATACAGAAATGATAACGAAGAATGCGATATTTAACCAAAATGCTCTCTTCCCCTTGGAAAATTTTAAAAAGAGTCAGTATTTAAAAATTTTAGTAGAATGGTTGTGAAATAACAATGAAAATTCACGTATCTGACAGTATCGTGCAAAAATATCACATACAAACAGATGAGTAACAGTTAAATTTTTTCTTAACAGTTAGATGGAATGCTATTTAATATGCCATTAATTTTTTATTTTATAGATGCTTCTTTAAATCTAATGCCAAAGAAACCTATTAAAAAAATTATAAAACACGAACAAAAGCCACTGAGAAATATTGAAAGGTCTGGGTACGAAATGAATTTTGACGAAAACTTGCATTCTACTTACTTATACATGTAGAATATAATAATAATTAAGGTAAGATATTTTGTCGTGAAGTGTTTGCTTTGTTTTCACCCAGTTTTAAATTAATGTTAGTTTCAGATAAATTATAAGTTCTTTTTAATTCAGTATTTAATAATATCTCGTCTTTTTAATAATATTTAATAATATCTTGCCTTAGCCATTTATCTTATTTCAGCGATGTTAAATTTGATTATTTTTGGCACATTAATTTCGAGATTAATCCAGAAACAGTGAGAATTATGGGCTGACTTCATTGTTTCGTTTTCAGGAAACGTACTTAATGTATTGATATGAGTACGAGCGTGCTACTGCACATTTTGATTGCTTCAGATTTTTTTTTCAATATATATTTGATTATATTTGGGAAGTCAGTGTTATGTAAGGAATCATTTATTTCTTTCTTTTACTCGCTCATTCCTTTTTCGTTTTTGGTCTTAAAAAGCTTCTAGTACATTGAAACATATTAGTAATAATATGCGAAATAAGACAATTCTGAATTTTTCACTTTTCATCACATGATAACTGTTATTACAAATGAAAATTATTGTGAAGTTTAATATATAAATATATGTAATATTTTGACATAGTTTATGAATATTCCTTAACTCCTATTTAATGACCTTTTTAGGAAATTTGAATTGAAACAATATTCTGTGACATTTATATGTTATGATTGACAAAAAAGACATTCCATATGAATTAAAATAAAATTATTTGATAAAGCGAATTTTTTATAGAGCGAATTTTTGATAGAGCGAATTTTTTGAGAAGTGCCTAGCGACTTCCCTACAGATATACATAATCCTGGTGATGTCTTCATTTCTGGACATCTTTGTAAAAATAGATATTTACCAAACTAACCCAATTTTCACTCAAAAGATTGGAAGTTGGGACCGTAACTTGAAATTGCTTTTATTATGTTCCAGTTATTTTCGCTTATTCCGTTTCTCTATTGATTTCAATTTCCTGATAATTTGCATATTCAAGTAACGAAATTAAAACTGTTTTAATTTTGAAAATCTCTACGACGACATGGCGCTCTATTCCAGCATAAAAAGAGCATTTCTGTCCCGTTAAATAGTTTTTCTTTAATTGAAACGACTGTAAACGTTAGGCCTACTTTAGACGGAGAAATGTGAGCATATTATATCGCACATTTACAGACTCATTTGTTTTCTTCGAATATGAGAAGCTTAGTTAAACTTTTTGAGATCTTTTTGAAAGTAATTTCATATGAAAAAAAAATTAATAAAAATTTCAGAGTTGATACATCAGAGCGTCTATCAAGTTGAAATAATGACGTTAGTAATGTATTTACTTTTTATCTAAAATTTAAGAGCTAAATCTGATAAAACAATTAGAAATTTTTAAAATACATGATGTAAAAAATTAGAATTAAAAACAAGGCTTTCATCATAGTTGTGTTGTAATCTTTGGCTCCGAATTTATACTTTTTTCTTTCGATCATCACAGACTTCAAAAGAGAAATTTTTCTATTTTGCTGTTTTAAGTGGTACAAGAGAAGTATCAAAAAAAAAGATTTTATTTCTTGCATTCATCTGACAAATTTGTTTTAAAAAAAGAAAGAAAAAACTATAAGGAAGAACATAGAGCTACTGGGAATAAATTTCAAGGAATTACTACTAATTTATTTTTTTCAGTTCCGTGATGGGAACCAAAGTAAGTAATTTTTGGTATTTCTTTTTTTTTTAATTAACATATTAATTTTTAATCAAAAAAAACGCATCAAGAGTATCTATGCATCTAAAGAAGTTATGAATAAAGAAATTCGAAAATGAAATAGTCATGGATACTGTATCTACTATACTGTATATTGGTTATGTATTCTATCTGTAGACGATGGAAGGTGTGAGTAATGTATCAATGTACGATATATCAATGTATGGTACAGATAAGAGAAATTTAACTAGAAAGGAAAGAATGAAACGACGTGCCAGGAAAATGATTAAAGCAGGCCTTAAAGAAGACGAGTAAACAATATACTTGTTATTCATTCCAATATTACAAAACCTGGTAGAAACTTAGTGACAAACAGTTTGTTTTACCTATTTGAAATTAAAAAATTACATCTTCCTCTTCACTTTTTTGTTGAAGATTTAAACTTCATAAAATTTAGCATTTATTGGAGCAGTGATAACTTTGAGTTTCTCTTTATCATTTAGCCTTATCATTTATTTTACCATTTATAAGTTCTGCTGCAAAGTTGAATTTTCTAAAAAAAGATTATTTTCAGATGCTACTGCTGTTCGTTGGAAGGCTCACCCACAACAGCCTGCATAATTATCGCCGGAATAGTTTTCCTTATCACTTTTTGTTTGATAATGTTTGCAGTAATGAGTGCTGGTTTTGATTTCGAGGCAACATTTACGGAACCTGGAATGCAATTGTAAAATGAGAAACGGATCTATGGTGATTCAAGCATATCCACAAAATACATTTATGTCTTGTTATATTCCAAGAAATGAATTCCGTATTTATCTTAAATATTATCAGCTATCCTAACCGGAACTATAGTGTATACCATAACTTTTCTACTTTGTAATTCTTTCTTGAACTATGATAAGATCTGAAGATTTAAAATGTGCAAACTTTTTATCAATTTCACATCTAGATCTCAATACATTTCAACTTACGTCTGTTCCTTATTTTCATTTGCCTTCCCGTAGTTAGAAGTTGACACCCTTATCATTCTAATATGTCGATCGATATCTCTATATGACAGATGAGAGCCTTCAATAAATAATTTCATGTTTCCTAAATATTTTTCTAGTCTCCGCCTTCAACATCTTTAAATAATTAATTATAGCCAGTCTTTCTCAATTAGTTTTTCTCCGATGAAACTAAACAATGTTGTCTTCTCATATCAACTGCCTTAATTCATTACAATTTAATTTAATGATATTTCAATTCTTCCTTACGGAATACAATCAATATATTAGATTGAAGTACTGAATTATTAGCATTTCCCATACATTAATCACATGAATGATAGCACTGCTCAGTTCGAGAAAAAAACTTTGTCTTATTATACTGTGTCTTTCTTTCAGAAAATCAACTTTTAGATTTTTTTTTTCTTTAGATATTTGTACAATTTCTCTTAATCCACTCCTTCATTTTATGTTATTACCAGATATCTTACATCTTTTTGTTGAAATTCTCCATCATTATCATTAATGCATCATGCCAAAAGATCTATCGTTTCTACCAATAAACAAGCATCGTCACTTCCGACTTTTTTCATGAATTCAAATCAATTATCTGAAGCAAATAATTAACCCCATTTCACCTTCAAAGATCTCTTATATCTGAATTTCTTCAGTGCTTACTGTAAAAAATTTAACATCTGTTGTGAATGGATTTGTTTGATTTGATTTGATTTGGGAGAGCTCTGTTATTATGTGGCACAGTCGAATTTGTTGGTGAAGTTTTCCTTTTGGAGAGATTTTCTTGAGACGCTATTGGGTTAGTTGTGTTTCTACGAGAGGGAAATTGATCATTCTATTAAAGTATGATCGGATGGGTCGGCTTGGATTCTAGATTCGGTTCTTGGTCCTTGGCCCAGAATATTTGGTTCTTGATCCAGAATATTTGTTCCAGACATTGTTGATTTTGATATAGTGAGAAACCATACTTAGTGATTTAATTTATTGAGTTGGATAGATATTGATACAAATCAAAATGATACTGGATGCGAATGTGAAGTTGAAAAAACTCTATAGGTAGAACTAACTCTCTCCTCAACTAAGATGTAGGCTTATATATTCATTGGAAGTCAGAGGTCAAAGTGAATAACAATCTTAATATTTAGCACGAACGGCAATTTTCTCAAGGTGAAGCCGACTAATCTTATCAATGTATAAAATTTTGAGTCAATAATATGCAATTTTACAATCAAAACTATTATCATGTAGAATCTTGTGGCCAGATAGATTAGGTTATATCTCTTATGAAACAAAATATATAAACAAAAATACAAATTTAATTGTCTTCTTTGTAAACAAAAATATAAATCATTTAATTGTCGGAATAATTTTATAATAAGAAATAATTCTCATGAATTTGGAAATAATCTTACAACATTTTGTATTATGAATTGATTTCGGGTTTTCGACAACACCAAATGTTCAAAAATATATCATTCGACATGGTTCTACTGATCAAAACTATAATCGAATCTATTTTTGCGGTCGTGAAAGCTCAATCTGCATTATATCGAGAAAAATTTAATTGTCTTCTTTACATTTCTCTATACATATTTATTACAAATTATTTCGATTTTTGTAAGAGAATGATGGTCTTCGGAGAGAAGAATTTAAGATATATGATGAAAGGTGTTTTGTTTTGCTTCATCAATAATATCTCTTGTCCCTTTTTTCTATCAAAGAAGTCTGCAGCAAATCAAAGAGAATAGCAACGATTTTTTTGATTTGAAGTTTTAATACATTAAAGACAAAATATA